AAAAAAACCCCAAACAAAACAAAACAAAAAAACAAACCCCAAATCAACCGAGGTTCAGCTCAAAGGAAAAGCAGATCCATGCGCCAGGAACCGCGGGATGAAATATTGAAAATGATGCTAAAAATCAAAGAGGAGGAGGAAGAAGAGGAGGAGGAGGAGGAGGAGGAAGAGGAGGAAGAGGAGGAAGAGGAGGAGGAGGAGGAGGAGGAAGAGGAGGAGGAGGAAGGCTCCTCGAGGGAATGCTTAAGGCTGATGCGTAGAAAAAAATAAAGAGCCGAGGAGGGGGAGAGCGGAGGAGTCCGGCGTGGAGGAAGGTGGAGGAGGAGGAGGAGGACGGGGGGTAGGTCACAGCTCGCCCGACGTCTTTATGACGTGGAAGAGGGTGACGTTGTAGATGACCTGGTGGCCGTTGTTCCAGGTGTAGAGCACCCTCTCCCGCGGGTTGTAGTCCAGCATGGATATGTGGGAATACTGGTTATGGAAGGGAATATCCGTGTACTCGTAACTGGAAGTGTTGGTGTAGTAGGCGAAGTAGATCTTGGCGCCGGCGAGGTGGGAGTTGGTGACGTAGAGGGTCCCGCAGATGATGAAGGACTCCCCGGCGCTCCTTTTGGGATACCCCGTGTCCCAACTCCGCAGGATCTCCAACGTCTGGGGGTCGACGCGGCTCACCACGATGTTGCCGGCGTTTTGGTTGGTGGTGTAGACGGCCCACAAGCCGCTCTCGTGCACCATGAAGTCGATGTCGGAGCCCCAGGAGGAGGGGAAGGTGTTGTTGTAGCCGGCGCCGGCGAGGCTGCGTTGAACCAAAACGCTCCGGGAACGGAAATGGTACTTCACCGCGATGTTACTCTGGTATTTGTTGTAGTAGAGGGACCCGTTGAAGACCACGTGGCCGGTGCCGGCCCACGGACAGGAGGTGCTGCACGAAGTTCTGACCCGTCACGAAGTCGTTCATGGTGCGGAATTCCAAAACGCGGCGACCTTTGTAGTAGCCGTCCATGTACCAGACCTGCGGCGGGCACCGGCGAAGGGGGCGCCCAGTTAAACCAAGATGAGTTGCTGGGAGAGATGGACACGACACACGTCCTCCACAACCCACCTCCTGCACCACAACCCAA